AATAGGTTTCACTTGCTTACGTTGTGGTAATTCGAGTCGTCGTGGGAGAACGAGCCGAGACCAAAGAGGTAATTTGGGAGACAGGCGTTTTTGCAGACGTTGGAGTTGAGGTTGTACTGTTTAAAACAATATATTCTCCTTCACGGCGGGGGGGCTTTGAAGGGGACAGTCCTTCTTGCATATCTGTGGGCGGAAAATTAGTAGAAACGTTGGATGTAGTTAGTGGGATAAGAAAGGGGTTCTCGTTTCTGAACTGGTACTAGCAGTAGGTTCTTCTTCGTATAACTTCTCTTGTTCGGATATGTTACAAGTCGTATGCCTTTGAGTGCGAAGTGACACCAGTGGTTTCACTAGATGTAATAGAGAAATGTTCTGAATATGATGTTTCTGAATTCGAAGTAGTAGTTGACGTAACAGCAATGGCGTCGTGATAGTAAAGTGGCGGCCTCTTGCTGGAAACTGACGATAGCTCTAGCGAAAAGTCAGAAGTCGTTTTCGTTTCCTTCAAAGAAACTGCTCTTGGGACGGCCGTGCGTGAGCTACGCTATCTGAACATGTATCACCATTTGTCCAGCCTTATCTGTCTAATGCTGCCCCTGATTCGGAACTAAAGTTGACTCACCTGCATCTTCCTCTACCGTCGTAGCCGATGTTGTTTCAGCGAGGGAATCTTCAGTTGGTGAGGGTTGCGATATAGTTTCATGTTTGTGAGGTGTAGTTGTGGTAGGTCTATCTGGATAGTAGACAGGTCTCGTTGTGGTTGTTGACTTCATGTTTTCTGCATTCTTCTCAGGTTTCGTAGTTAATGTTGTTTCGGAAGCGAAACGTTCAGTCGATGAGGATTGCAGCAAAGTTCCAATTTCTGGAGCGAGATTTTTCGTGGTTCGACCTGCTTCGTTGCCTGACATCATCATTGTTGTTGTTGTTTCGGTAAGAGAACCTGCAAGCAGAGAGAAATGCTACATTGTCTGGATTCCTTTACTAAAGTAAGCTGACCAGTTGACTCAGAATTGTTTACATGCTGTGGTTATGGTGAATTTTAGGATCTCTAAGGTGCGGGTTCACTTCTACATGTTTAATTTTGAAAGATATGAGATCATTCTCTATTATGGCCGTATTGATACCCAAGTAGAATGTGATTTCGCAAAGGCTCAGTTTAGTTTCACCCAATTACGCAGAACCCGCGCAGATGCGCAATTAGCAGCAAGAGTCCAGCGAGATTTTTCTTACTAAAATTCGAGTGACGGGAGATTTCCTCTGGCCCAAGTCTAGGATGCCTAAAAATGAGTGTCGACAGCCAGTTGTACCGTTTATTGATACCTCAAACTTGGGTAATTAAACGAGTAGAACATTTCTTTAAAAGGTAAAATATGCAAAAATACGAAAGAAATAATCCTAAGGTTAAAATTTGAGAATTTCGGATAAAAGAGATTAGAGTGACAGGAATAATATGATAAATAAGAGTCTAACTGAATACAAAATAGTGAGAGAAAAAAGATTGTCATAAAAATGCACCTCGATCCTTGAAATCCTTCGATGTCGTCGACTGACCACCCTGCCAGCTTTTATGCTATCTTTTTGTGTTGCTTTTAGCCCGAACATCAACATTTTAAGAGATATGGATGCGAAAATCAACATTATGCTGCTGACTAGAGCGGATGTTTATATGAAAGAAAACATGTTTCTGAGAAAAACAACATGGGTGGTGTTATCAGATTAAAAGGAATTTGAGCTATGAGAACAACAAAGAAATGAGCTGAGCTATTAATATCTACAGTACATAGAAAGTGAAGCTACTCAATCTTTTCCCCTTCTAATCACATTTGTGATACTGCCGGCCGGGATGGTCAGTGGGAGGGTCCTCCGTATCGTTCCTCCAAATCCGCCAATTGTGATGAAAGTTCCTGATACTTGGTCATCTCCCTTTCGATCCTCTCTGGTAATTTGCACAGAGCGCTGTGATGAGCGCGTCCACAATAGTTGCATATCATTGTTCGTCGGTGGCAACGATCAGTAGAATAGAGTGTCGAGACAGTTACGACACCATATCTTTCGTTCGCGCACTCCAACCTCCTTGAAAAGCGGACAGCTATCGCTGTAATGTTTTCCTTTCACTCTGCAGAACGAACAGTGAGGTGGGCTCCTGTCCCTCATGATGTCAAAGAAGGTGAAGATTCTTCGCGGTACTCTTTTGTTCCGATATTGGGTTCGCCGTAGATCTTGCAACTGCGACAGTAAACGCCGCCTTGTTTGCTCTACTTCCAAATGCACCTCATCCCTTTGTGGTGCCGTCGTTGGGTGATCGTCAGTGTTCATGTCATTATCCATCTGATAATCGCCTTCGTAATCAAGGTCGAGCAGGTCTTCGACTATTTCGCCATCCGATGGTGGCGCCTTAAGCCCTTCCTTGGCATCAGTGGGTTTCTCTGGTGCGTCAGAGTGCTGGTCCTCGGATTCTTCATTTTGCGTGGGTAGAGTTTCGGTTTGGTCGCTCTCCTTGGTTTCCCTCCTGCACTGGACACAATCCTTGACCTTCTGGACATCTTCTCCAAAGCCATCCATCTTGTTGACTAGTTCCGTGATTCTTGCATCCTGCTTCGAGATCTCTTCTTGGAGGTCTGCAATGCTAGCTTCCATACTCCTCTGGAGACCTGCAATGCTCGCTTCCATGCTTTTTTGCAATCCGGCTACAGCTTCTTTAAGCTCCGTGAATCCATTTTTGTGATCTTCGTTTCCAATTTGGATCTCGGCGTGCTTCATTTCATTTTCCATGCACTTGAGAATCTCGTCCAGGAACTCGATCTCCTTACGGATGTAGTCACTGGTAAAAACTGGATCTATAGAGATTCCCTGAACGTCGTCATCATAGAACTTATTTCGTGATTCTTCTGTTGCTGTTTCTGCCAGAATCAAGAATTTATAGGTCTCATGCGACATCGCCAAGGCTTCTGCTGCGCTACGTAGGCGTTCTCTCGTCTGACTCGTTCTTAGCCATATATTCTCCACCAATCCTCTGTAGAGGGTGGCTTCCCCCCTCGCGTAATGAACCGGGCGATTTCCTTGAACCTTGGTGAAGTCATCCTGGAGGGTATTTGTCTTGGTAATCCGAATAATCTCTCTTATGAAATGGCGAATTTTTCGTTGAACGTCGTTCTCTGTCGGCAGCGTAGGTGCAAGCCGAACACACGATCTCTTGTACTTCAGTTCTTCAATCAGCCGCCGCTCTTCGTATTTTCTTCGTCGTTTCAGTGATTCGTACGATTCGTCTTGATCCATGATCCTAAACAATGCACCTATAAATGTGAAGAGCACGCTTTCAAAGTGTTTTTTCATAGCTCTTGCCATCATGCTTCTCACGGCAAAAGATAGTGAAGAAAAAGCGAAAAAACATGCATGCCGTTGTTTTTGTAATCCAGAACAGGATAGCGATGATAGTCTTGATGCATATGCTGAGAAAGCGTTTGCATGCAGTCATTAAATAGAGATAGCTGACAAGTAATGCACCGATGATTGCCAGAACCATAAGCGTGATGCTTTTGTACCATTCCAGGTATGCCGTAAAGACATGTCTAATATCTGGCCATTGAAAATCCGAAGTCATATTATGCTGCTGATGAAATGTGTGCCTCAATCCTCTGTGAACATTGTGGACATATTTCAAAATCCCTGCTATTTCGAAGGAAGTAGGTTGAAGTCCACATCTCACTACGCATTGTATCCTCACTTGGGCTCTTGACCTCATGAACCTTAACTTACTCAACTCTCCAGAAGGGGAGCAGTGTACTGAGAACGTATCCGAGTCACACTCAATCTCCGCTGTTATGACTTCTGCAGATGACTTGCATAGTATCTCTGCAACAGCACCGCGTTTGCATCCGTAGCACCCTACAATCTGGGTATCGTCTACCGTGCATCTCTCGTTGATAACGTCCACGATACTGTCGGTCACGATTTCCCTGGTGTTCAGCATTATTTCTGCTGAGACTCCATTTTCGACTTCTGCCATAACCGCATGTATTGGATGACGTGCAAGCCTAAGTGAAGGTAACGTAACTGGAAGAGTTTTCTCGATGCTGCGAAAATTCTCCGAAATATCGTAGTCTTCACATCGGCAAACAACTTGAGATTCCGCCGGTGAACAGAGACATGTGCTATGCATCGTACAGCGTAAGTCTTCCGCATGTGATCTTGAGTTGCACTCCAACG